GGCGGCGGAGGATGGCGCGCGCGGGGCCCGCACGTGGAGGCCGGCGCGGGGGCGCGGGCAGGGCCGGCTGCTGAGACGCGCTGCTGCCCCCCGCGCGGGCGCCGCGGCTTCAATGGCGCCATCGCCCAGGACCAGCAGCCGGCAAGATGCGACCGCCCTGCCCAGCATGTCCTCAACTTTTTGGGCGTTCATGATCCTGGCCAGTCTGCTCATCGCCTACTGCAGTGAGTACCGCGCGGCCCGGGTCCTCGGCCGGCCCTCCGGTCCCGGCCCCGGCGCCCGTTCCCCGTTCCCGGGCCGCGGCTCCGGCGGGGCGCCCCGCGGGCCGCCCGGAGTCCGTGAGGAGTTGCGAGCTCGGGGCGCGCCGTCCCCCGGGTCCCCGCCGGTCCTGCGCTGGGCCGGGAGGGCGAGGGGCCGGCACTTTGGAGGCCGGCGCCACCGCTGAGCCTCCCTCCTCCGACTCCGGGGCAGGGCCCGGGCACCAGGCCCCGGGTGGCGCGGCGCGTCCCTGCGCGGCGATGCCCGCGGCTGCCCGGCGTGCCGCCGCCACTCCCGGCCCAGGCCCGCGATCCGAGCCGAGCCGGCGGCTTCCCGGCCGAGCCGAGCCGCGCGCTCCGGAGGCGGCGGCAGGTCCGGGGCGGGCGGGCAGCGCTGCCTGGGCTGTCGGTGGAGCGCCTTGCCCTGAGCTTTCCGCTGGCGACACTCCGGCGGGGGACGCGGCGGCCGAGTCCGGAGCAGGGCGCCTGGGGCAGGAGCGGGGCTCGGGCTAGGTCGCGCGGCTGGAGCTTCTGCCTTCCCGGGAAGCAGGCTCGCCGGCGCTTTCCTAAAAAAGATAAGTGAGGGCTGGGGTGCCCGGAGAGGGCTCGCCGCTTCCACCGGCATTTCGCGAGTAGGGTCCGAGGACCCGAGCCGGTGAACCAGTGGGTCTGGCGCGGGGCCACGGGCTCGGGGCTGGGGTGGCGCGGGCTGGCGGGCGCCCGGGGCACAGGCTGGGGGCTGGGGGACCGGGAGCAGGGTCGGGGTCTGCCTGGGTGTGTCGGGGGTGCTGCGCCCGGGGCACAGGCTGGGGGCTGGGGGAATGGAGGCTGGTGGGACGCTGGGCACAGCCTAGGGACTGCGGTGGGGGTGGATGGTCAATGCTCCGGACACGGGTTCGCGGCTGGTTGGATGGGTGGGGAGTGGTCAGCGTCCCGGGCACAGGCTCCGGGCCGGGATGGCGCGGGCAGGTGGGCTCCCCGGCCGACCGCCTGGCACAGGGTCCGGGTCCCTTCCTATCCCAGCGGGAGGAAAGGACGGGCGCTGAGGAACACCTGTCATGGAGAATTGCCATGGGCGATGGAAAAATATGGATTCTTTACAAAAAAAAAAAAAATTGAGAGAGAGAGAGGGAGAGGGGGAGAGAGAGAGAGAGAGAGGCCGAGGGAGAGAGAGAGAGAGAGGCCGGCGCGGAGCCTCGCTCCCCGCCACCACCTCGCAGCCCTCGGCCACCTAGCTCCCAGCCCGAGCCTTCGCTCTCTCCAAAATGGGACCGCGGCGGGCCATGGAGACGCGGGGCGCGCGCGGTCGCGGAGTCCTGGGACAGCCCAGCCCCCCCTCATCCTCCCCGAATGGCGGGGGAAACCCGGTGCTCAGAGAAGGAGTCGTGCTGCTGGTCTCAGCCGGGTTGTGCATTTCGCTGCAGTTGCTGGCGACGCGTGGGGACGCGTGGGGAGGGGTCTCCGAGCGGGAAGGTTCCCCGTGGGGCCGCAAGCCCGACTGCCCAGACTGGCACCGCCATCCCGGCTGCACCCTGCCTGCTCCTCCGAATGCGTTCCTGCGCTGGCTGCCTGGAGGGGGCTGTTCTGGGGGTTTGAGCGAGGTCTGTGCCCTCTCCCCAGCTCCTCGCGGCCATCTCGGGGCCCTGGGGCAGCGTTCCCAGGGTTCCAGAGAAGAGCCTCAGCCGGCTTCCTTGGCCATGGGGAACAGGTGAAAGGCAGGTGAACTCGGGGCTCACCCAGGAGGTGTCATTTAAATGCACTTCCTGGTGGCAGCATGGGAGGGGGACTCATCCAGCAGTGTTTGGGAAGGGGGTTGTTGTGCCCCAAGTCCCCAGGCTGCTGTCCCTCCCTGGCTCTGGGGACAACATCGTTGGTGCCAAGGCGAGAACCAGGCAACAACAGGCTGGCTGGGGAGGCAGCCCTCCGGGTACAGAGAGGAGCAACTGCTAATTGTTGTTAAGTACATGACACCTCCGCCCTGCCCTGTGGCTTCAACACTTCCCACCCCAGGTGTGCCAGCCAGGGCCTTCCTTTCTCACCTTCTGTGTGCAGTCTCTGCTCACTCCCCCCCCCCCCCCCCCCCCCCCCCCCCCCCCCACCCAGCACCTCCTGAACCTGAAGGGGGACCCGCTATGTCTGTCCTGACACTCACACCTTTGCCAGGCTGCTGCCTGCTCCAGGTGGCGGTCCGGGCCTGCCCGCTGCTCAGACACTTGGTGGAACCCGAGATCCCATTGGACACTCAGGCTGCTTTGCGGAGGCCTCCCTGGCTTTCTGGAAACAGCTCTTCCACCAGGACGATGACATTTGGTAAAAAAAAACCCATCTACTCCAGAATGGCGGAAATCATTAATAGCCGAAGCTTGGGTTAACACATTTTTATGGTTGTTTCCACCTCCATGGAACAGAATAACTGACAATAAGATAACGTTTTTGGACACACCCCATTACACCAGAAAGGCACTTGGAGAAATTAAAACATTTCACTAATATGCAAAGTAGACATATGCACTTGGAGGAATGAAAACACTAAAATGCGAACTAGACATAATAATAATCGATAGCTTGGAACATCAGCCCTAGAGAAAAAAGAACTTCTTTTTTTTAGAATTGATATAAAGCAAATAAAATGCAAATGGAACAGTTCCTGTGATTTCATTCTCTTTTCCAGTATATCTGGGATGAAGAAGAATAGTTATAGCACCCATGTCTGTAAATTGTTTCTGTTATCGGTAAGGATTTTTATTACCCAAAATGTTTTTGTGTTTTGGAGCAGATCTATTTGTGTCATTAGCCAGGGAGACTGGTAAGTGTTGTACAGGATTCAGTTATCCTGCCTATTAAATCTGTGCATTTCTCTGCAGCCCAAAAGGTGTTCACTTTCTGGCGCTGCTAGAAGCAAACTGGAATCTTTCTTGGCGTCGTTTTGGGTCAGGGGTGTTCTCCTGTTCTTGGCCCCGTGGAAGCCCTCCCTTCCTTGCCGCCGCTGAGATTCATATTTAAGGAGATGGGCTCCACCCTCTGGCTGGAGAAAGACCTGCAGTCCACCAATTAAGTTAGTTGCTATAGTGACACAGCCTTGTCATTTTTCTCCTATTGGGGAACAATTGACAGGAGACACAGAAAGAGGAAGGGGGCCCTTGATGGCTTTCTTTAGAGATGCAGACTCCATCTCTGTGTACGTTCCCATTACAGCGGGGATGGACGCTTGGTAAAGACTTATCTTGGGGAGGTGATGAGCTCCGATGAGAAAATTGAAACTCTCCTTCACTCTGGTCTGGGGAAACCTCTGTTCTCATGGCTTGGAAAACGCTGAGTTAGATCGTCTTCCCCTTAGCGTATCTGGAGAGGAGAGTTCTGCCTGGACCTGGTTCTTGGATGGAGTGGGACAGCTCTGGCGAAACCATAGTGGTTTGCCTGTGTGCTGTGCTCAACCCCGAGACCCCGAAGATGCAGTCTGCTGTGCTGGCTTACAACATACTGGCTGTAATAAACCGTGAGGACGGTGGAGAGAATGATGAGCTAGTGGCGGCCTTAGGATGCTAAGCTGTGACTTGACACCGTGCGCGGTGTTTATTTCGAAGTCCGAGAAGGCTGTGCGTTCACGTAGATTGCCCGTCTCCTCTTTGGACGGGCTTGGTGGACAGCTGCTCCTGGCATGTAAACGGTGGGTGGGAGGAAAATCTTATATTTGAAAGTACCAGGGAGTAGGGTGCGAGAGGCAATGTGACTCTGTTGTCGACTTGTTTTTTTTTTCAAATAAATCTCATCAACATTGAATGGCAGCTTTAAGTTAAATCTCATGCCATAGACCTCATGCAACTACGAGAAGAAATTACAAACAACTTCGGAATTGTTTTTTAATCCATTAGAATACTAAAGAAGTGCAAGCTTTCTGATGCTGCATTTTCCTTATAAATACAATTTATTGCATATTTAGGAGAGATCAGAATATGCCACTTTCCTGCTGTTCAAATTTGATTTCTGGGGTTTTCCAAGAGGTGAAATTGGAAATACTGGAAACTGAATGAAGTGATGACATTCAGAAGTTTATTTCTCATCCTTTTTTTTTTTCTCCTACTGTGTTTTTCATTTGATGAATTTCTGGCCGGAGAAGATGTGCTGTGTGTTTCTTTCAACAACATAAGGAGATAGGTTGCCTGTTTGTGGGATCTATATTGGTGGAACTCCACGCCTAGGGATCGGGGAGCTGGGGGAGGTTATGCCCCTGGAAGCCAGACAGACTGATTGGTGCCCCCCACCCCAGACCCCCACCCCTCCCCCCCCCAGCCCAGACACCGCCAAGAGGGGCCACGCCCTCCAGGACTCCCCTGGCAACTCACTGTTTGCAGCGAGGCCAGAGGATAGCGCCTCCCAAACGGGGGCTGTGTGCTATAACTCAGCTGGCCGGGTCTTCGGTACCAGGCGTCTGGGCTGAATTCCACCCTGGAATTTCTCGCTCAGGACCTGCCACTTGACATCCCCCGGGAGGAGATATGGAGCTCAGCTTCTGTGGCATGAAGTATTTTCAGGTGACTTTTATGGGTGTGATTACGGGAAAATGTTATGATAACGTGGCACGAGAAATGGGAAGAAAAGCAGAACATTAACATCCCCACTTCTTTATGTAGCTTCGCAGCTGCGCTGATTTACAAGGGCTCATTTTTGCATTAAAATGTGGTGCTCTGGAGCTAATGACCTCTACAGAACGCCACCTGTCACCCAGAGCCGTGGGTGCCCGCTGAGCGTTGGGGAGGAGATGGGTTGACAAGGAGGATGTGGGTCAGGGTTCCTGCGTGAGAGGGGATCAGTCGGATGCTGGTGGCAGAGGGGGCTGGCCGCTGGATCTGCTGGACTTTATTTGTTTGGGGGATTGTCACTGGCTGTCCTCTCAGGGGCCGGGGCTGGCACATGGGGCTGAGAGTGCCTGGTGGTGTCCCTTTCTGCAGGCAACCTTGCACGCCATC